GCCTTATGCAAATATGCCAACGTTCATATTCGATTTCACTCATGCCTGTAGAATTTTCTGGACATATTGAATTGGTCTATATATATGCACTATATCCATCTCTGACGTGCACCGCGCAGGGGCGATACGCGACCGCCCGCCGGTTCGATGCTCAGCCAGATCGAAACAAACCAAAACAACCAATTTTTAATTTAAAAAAGCAAATACGTCAGGTTGCTTTGATATTAGATAAAATGTATTTAATTTATATTAGAGTTATATGATTTAGATCACCCTGGTCTAAGAAAGCGTCTTTTCTTTTTTCTCACTAAATTTTTAGACATGGCCGGCAGATTGATTCTTCAATCTACCCAATGACTGAAAGTAGTGTAAAGCAGAAATTGACTGACAAGTTAATTACGTGCAAAATCGAGTTTCCTTCATAACTTTTTATTATTTATGTAAATCACGCCACACTAGAACAAACGCTGCGTGATTTTTCATACAAGGAAAAAGCTCGATTGCTCTAATACTTCAGCAAATCGAAACAAATGCCACTTTGAGCTTATGTATCCGAAATCTTTGTGGAAACAGCTTCCGCTAATTTTTCTTCTTTTTTTGATAAACAAACGAAAAAAAAATATTTGGCATTATTTCTGCGGGGAAGGTTTGATTTGACTCATCATAGTAAAACCGGTGGGATTTAGAACAGTATTTAAATCATTATTTAAATCTTCTTGGCTTTCATTCGCCTCCCTGAAAAGAAGGGCAGATGCGCAAAAGATGGAAGATAATTCTACCAAGAGGTTGACCAAGAGAATCTCGTGTTTATTTGTTGAAGGCTTACCGGAATGCTTATCGGAAAAGAAGGAAAGGGGGGGGGGGGGGTAATTTACCACACTAGAGCAAATCGATGTGTTTAGCGATAACCGTAGATATTGGCACCAAAATGTTTCCCTGGCGCCACCTCGCGGGAGCTCTCCTTTTGCGTAGTGGGTGAAATTTGCGCAGACGGCTTGCCAAGTAATCGCACGGAGTGGTCATGATAGTTCGCACGTGCAAACTGTCAATTTATTTATTAATAAAAACCTGTATGACGTTTTTACGAGTTATTTCTACTGAACTACAGCGTCTCCAGGTCGCTTTTTGAGAAATAAATCTCTCAAATTATTGAGAAACAAGCCTGGAGCTTGACAGCTTGCGTCACGGCTGATTCTTGTTCTTCTAAATCAGTGGAGGCTCCTGAGGAAATGGAAAGCACGGCGGACCGCTAAAGTTCCCACTTTGTGCAAAAAGCGTTGACGCAGGCCTTTACCGGCATTTACCGAGGCGATAATGCGCCCGAGCGGTTTTTTCCGTCCCTTATCATCCGTGTTTTCTCAACGTTAGCTTGTGTCTGTTGCAAGAGTAATTTTAGCGCACTACTGCGCATCCCACGCGCTCTAAACTTTCTAAAAATATGACGGATTAAGTTGAAATGAAACCATGTTTATTTTCGATAATTCAAAAGTTAAGCAACAAATTTTAATTGAATATTCGACTTTTCGTGACAAAATTAGCTCCCTATATATATTATGCCCCCTTGATCGTATAACTCCCCTGCACAAAACGCATTATTGCAGCTTTCACGACTTTTTTTTAAACACATTTGTGAAACCTAAAAACACCCTGTATAACTTATTTTATCTTGTACTTATGTGTCTATTTTATTCTCAGAAAAAAAAAATACGAATGAAAATTGTATGCATATATTGAACAGGATTCATAGCCAATGACTATAGTTAAATTTGTGTATGCAATGAAAAGCGCTACGTGTGAGCTTTCTGGTGATGTCGAGGTCATCAAAATATATTCAATTGGTCACACGCAAGAACGGGCCAAATATTGCCAGAAATTGTCTTGCATTTTATTTACTGAACATGTTAGAAGGTAGGGTTTAGATATCTGCTATTACAGGGTCCTTTGGTTATCAACTGATTTTATGGTTTTCAGAATTTGTTTAACGATTCCACGTAAAAAAGCAGTGTGTACATTAACTAAGATTAAATTGGCATGTAAAGGCATCTGTTTTAATATGTATGCGCAACTTTAGATCATACAGTTGGCGAAAAAAAGTAAACCATAAACTGCAAACAGTGATGCAACAAACCACCGATGGCCCCACATAGAATGTATGTTCTCCTTTGTTTAGTTTTAACAGGTCGTCAGTTGAAAAGTAGAACCGGCATCAGTATTAACTTTTTCATAAAATGGAACGTCGAGCAATCAGTCGGTCAGGGCCTTCCTTTGGTTATTACTATATTCACACAAAAATAATAGGCATTCATCCCAGGTAGCACATGAAGTAGGGCCCATGTGGCCCCCACGTAGGGCAAAGTGGGCAAGGACAGCCCTTGCGGGTCTCACCTCGGTTATGAGAGAACAAAATGGCCGTAGACGTGGGCAAAGCGAGGGCATGCTCACTTGGGCTGCCGACGGCCGTGGGTCCCACTTTGGCTACGGGTGGGCATGCCCAAGTTGGGCAACCCGCGCAATGCCCCCGAGGGTCCCATAGCACATACGTGGTCTCCACGGAAGTAACGCGTGCGCGCGCCCGACTTGGACTGCCTGTGTAATTTTGAAAATTACACTTGCCACTGATATCAGTAATAGTTTGCGCATGTTCTGGAAAATTAGCATAGGAGATGGTTTTCATGTGATACCAAATCACCGAGAAATTGCAATTTAAGGTGGGAGAAATTTTGGGTTTGCAAAACCCCATTATAACTAACTTGCTACTCAGCGTGTATGTGGAGAACTCCGGTTTACGTGGGGCAGGAGTTTTTACTCAGAGTATTGAATTTGAGGCTTAATTCTAAAGAAACTTGTTCGAATGTCGTTGTCTGTTATACAACTCGGTGTCATGTAGTAGGGTCAATCTGACTATGTATCTTGATTACCTGACTAACGGGAGATATATTAAAATGTGGAGTTTTTTGTGTTCCTTTGCATACTATAGAAATGCCCAATTTTTTATGGTCTCCCTCAAGTCGTTGTATGGGTCTCTCAAAGCACGCACATTTATATGAGGATAAACATGATCATTTTAACCACATTGTGTGGGAATGATGAAATGACCCGAACGGAATAAGGTTCTTGTGAACCTAATATGGACTGCCCACGAGGGTGGCTCACGGGAGCCAGAGTTGCGCGTTCATCCCCGTAGCGCCGGCTTTCCTGCACGGCATTCGGAGTCTGCTCCTCACGTGACTGAATTCGGCGACTAGCGGCGACGCACTCAAAAGCAGGGGAACGTACGGCGGCGCGCGCGCAACGTCTACTTTCATGCACGACATTTGACTATGCTGCTCACGTAATCGGATCTCGCCAAATAGCGGCGTGGCGGCGCATGGAAAACAGACGCACAACAACACTGGCTCCCATAGGGAGCCTATACAGGAACTCTAACGTGGACTGCTCCTTAGGTCCCCTGTGGGCCCTACGGGACGGCCCATGTGGGCTGCCCAAGTAGAACCACTTTAGGTCCCAAGAGGAGAGCTCGTGTGGGTCCCCCGAGGCAGCCCACTTGGGCCTGACTTGCAGACAACGCGCAGGGGCTCCGGAACCGGGGAGGCAGTGGGGGCCGTCGCCCCCAGATTCTAAACCAATGGGGGCATGTTTCCACACTCAAAACTGTTCCGACTGCTTTCATTGCTTTACATCGAATTAAAACATACTTCTGTAGCAGGAAGCAGACTAACGCATCTTTTACTTTTATGCGTCCACAAGGGCAGGACCGCGGAACTGGTGGTAAACGAAATAATCAACGAGTTTGTTAACGGGAGAACTGAACGGGCAGCCACGTTTGGTTTGACATGACGATTCACCGTACGTATATTGTGTATGACCCGAAGTAGAAGGGAAAGTGCGGGTTTGTAATTTTGTGCATCGTGTTTAATATGGTTCATATGTGTATATTGTATGTCTGTATCAATAGTAAGTGACACGTATTCTTTCTTTGGAAGCCTTGTTAACCCGTTGGTTTGAAGTTGTCTTTTATTGTTTGTCCAATATGTGCGTTCTCACTAATAAATCTCCGAAGATTCTATCAGACTGCAGCCTTCATTTCTCTGCACTGCGCTTCGTTAGTGGTCGTTGATATATATATTTATATATACAGTCAAACCCGTTCATAACGAACAGCAGGAAACGCTGCGATCAGTTCGATATAGCAAGTAATTCGATATAGCAAAAACATTTACAACGAACTTTCACGATCCGTTCGTAGTAAAGTGAGAGCTTGTTTTTCTTTCTCATCTCTTCGCTTCCGCCTTGTAAAAACGCGCTAGAAAAAAAAAATTTTTTTTTGCATGCGTGCAGTTTTTTTTTTTTTTTTTTTAGCTTGTTCTCCCTTCTGAATCGCTTCTGTTCGTGGGCAAGCGTTTTGGGGTGTATATATATATATATATATATTATATTTTTTTTTGTGTGTGTGTGTGTGCGCGTGCTTTTATTTTTCTGAATCGCTTCCCTTCGCAACTCGAGCTTTTGAAATTTTCTTTCGTTCCTACTTTTTTTTTTTTTTTTTTTTTTGAAGGGGAAGGGACAGGCTAGAAGACGATTGTCTGCGCGTTTTGGGGAGCCTTCCCGGGGGGAAAAAAGTTCAATATAGCCAATATGTTGTTTGTTATAAAAATTACTTTTTACATTAATTTTTATTTAAATTTTTGTGAGTTCAATATGGACAATAATTCGCTGTACGTGGGTTCGTTCTAAACGGGTTTCACTGTATATATGTATGTATGTATATATATATATATATATAGAAAGAGAGAGAGAGAGAGATAGCTGTGAACTACACGATGCAACATGAGCGCCCAGACGTCGCCCCGACACATCAGATATACTACCGGAGCCCCTGCACGCGAAACCCACGTGGGCCCCCCTTTCAGAGCCACTTCGTGCTACTTGGATACCTATGATTTTTTTTTTATAATATAAAATGACTAAAAATTCTAAAGCAACTAACAAAAAGACGGTCGTTTCGAGTCACCTACACAGGTGGCATCCTTTATTTAGATGCTCGACTGTAACATTCGACAGCGGAGCATACCAACAGTGCAGTTGCGTCGTGTGCCCCAAACCAACATCGCAAGATTTTTTGCGTGACAGAAAAATATCTATGCATTGCTGAAAGTGAAACCTTCGAAGTAATGCTAGCAGCGACAATAAAACATGCAAATTTTAGGCTATGACATTATCTGCATAGGAATAACCTTAAAAATATTCGATCGGAGGATGACATACCTCATTCTGCTTAACCTTGGCATTCACACTTTACCATTCCTTCTTGCATTACCTTGGGGGAGGTCGTTTGTTTCCCCCAGCAATGCATAGTGAATTTATATAAAGCAGAAAAAAATACAAGTGGCTCTTGGAAACACAAGCGGCATATGCACTGTTCATGTGGAGTCGGCAGCAAAAGTTTACGGAACGCGGGAGCGCCAGCCGAAATGACTGGTTGCGCCTTCTGACGGCGCGCGGCCGCTCTCAAGATTCACGCTTCGAGAATGCGCTTCCTTTCGTGCTCGCAGTCGTGTCTTTTTTACTCGCTTTCGTCTGACGCGAACAAGATAACCGGGACCGGCGCAAGGTGCCACTTTGTCAAGTCATGCCGCGCGTCTGCCTCAACCACCGTGATGGGTGACGGAGCTCGCATGCTGAATAACGTTTCGCGGCGCCTAGCGCCAGTCCGTTATCTCGTCGGCGGCAAACGGAAGCGAGCGAAAAAAACATGGCTGCGAACACGAAAGGAGGCGCATGCGCAAGGCGTGAGCCTTGAGCGCGACAACGCGCCGTCACAAGGCGCGGTCAGTCATTTTGGCTGGCGCTCCCGTGCCCCGCAAACTTTTGCTGCTGACAGTACGCAAATGCATTCTTATATCACAGACAGGATTCCATGGCCGAGTCCGCTACCACACAAGAATACGAGTTCCGTCGGACCAAACTAGCCACGTCATCCAGCACCTGACCGCCGTGCGGACCAAAGACCAGGTCATGAAGACACCTGTTCCACGTTTCTTCGTCACACTTTTCCGTGAGAGCATACCACAAAACGGCCATTCGCAGGTCCTCCATCCCAAGTTCCAATGCCTTGGTATACGCGTCACAAACATGTTCCAACTTCACACACTGTTTCACCCTCGTTTCTGTCATTCTTTGCAGTTCCGGAAGCAACAAGAGGTCGCACAGTCCTAAGACTTCGAGGTCTACCCTAACCGTTGTTTCCGCTTTCAGAAAAGGACAGCTCCCAAAGCTGCACCCGTGAAGAAAGTGTACCACGACGCTGAGAGGAGTCTTGCGTGTGCAATGGAATGCCACAATGCTCTGGTTGCTCTCCTGGAAGTGCCCACTGAGCATCCTTCGAAAGTAATCGTTGGTCTCGCTAAGTTGGTCGCGGTTTCCCTCGACCACGGAGCCATCTTCCATGCGGAACTGCACGTCAGTCGTAAATTTCCCGAGAAAGCAACTTGAGGTATTCACAAGGTCAGGTTTCTCGCTTGTTTCCGTGTTCCTTTTTGCTTTGGGGGCTGCTATAGAGGTGCAGAGTGCTTGGAGGCTGGCTGCAGCGTCGCTGAAAAGGGCCCTGCAGTCCTTGTTCCCTTCCAGCATATCGAGCAGAAGCTCCAGCCCGGTGCATTCTAACAGGAGCTGCCGCAGGATAAGCTTGTTGCTAAAAATCAAGAACACATTTTTCAGAATTATTTTATATACACACGCAAGTACCACACAGAAATTTTAGTTTATACATAGCAGAGAGATATGTTACTACGGCCCTTTGATGTCTCTTGTCTGGAAACTTTTCTGACACATTAAGAGAAAGCTCTCACTGGGGACAAATTGAATTAACTTAGGTACACCCTTGGTGTCATGGCTGACCGAGATTTGGGATGAGGAACCTAATATATGAATTGATAGATGTCTTCAGACCGCCTGAAGATCTAAGCAACTTTAGAAAAAGCTTCACAGCTTTCCTAGAGCTTCAAAAGATAGCGTCAGTGGTATGCTACTAGGAATGCGTCCAAAAGTGGTGATGCATGAGATGCCATTGACAAATGTCGCCATGGAACATTTGTCGTCATCAGCATCCCATCAAATACACCCGACGACTGCGTGTGCGACGTACTGCCCTGAAGGAGTGCGTTCCCCTTAGCACGTGGGTGTGCTGCGGCGAAGCAAAATATGCATGCAACATCGCATGCCTACTTTGCGGTTCTCGCTTCACTGCAATACACCAATGCGTGGTGAGAATCGCACTCAAAGAAGCCAACTTACCTGCCAGAACAAACCACAAACATGGTAAATATATCGAGACCTTCAAGCACTGTCGGTATTCGACACAGAGATCAAATCAAATAGAACATTATTTTAGGCGATAATCGAAAGTTCCAAGAATTCGCACAAGCCTACTACAGCGAACCGGCCGTGTAGCAGGGCCTGAGCTATCACATTTTAGTAACAACAAAGTAAAATTACGTTTAAGCACAATGTTGGCGTAAATTCATCATATTTTGGCGAGACATAACAAGATGTAACAGGGTAAGCACTTCGGCGCAACTATGGCACAGCAATCACGTCACTATAAAAATGCTTTCTGCCCAAATGCTTTTGTACCATTATAAATTTAAAATATTTCAAGCGCATTAACAAATTCTGCCTTGGAGACTATTTGGTCTGTCACAAATATTTTATCACCTCCAGCTCCTTCTGCATATGATTACCATCAAATAAAAGGTTACCAGATCGTAAATCTGCACGCATGAGTTAGGAAACCAGACATCAAAGGACCATGACATAGCTTACCCCTAGATTATATGTAGGATTCCAATTTTTCCGAGTTCTTTTCTGGTAAAATTTGGAGTGTGTTTTTTGAAACTTAGTTTTCACAGACAGGGTTTATCGGAATTTATCTTTGTTAGATTCCAAATTCTCTGAAATTTTGAGTTTATTTCACTGTATTCCCATTTTCAAAATTAAAAAAAAATAATAAAGTCTGGACACAAACATACCATAAATTCAACAGAACTCACCTGTATCCAATGATATTCCTGTAGCTACATTTTGCACGTGTGCCCTTGCCATTCGTAATACTTATTCCTCATAAGGAATATTTCAAATATGTGTTGTTTCAGTAACAGTCGATACTTTGAAATAACTAAACCCCTGGACGTAGTAGCGAGGATGTTTGGAAGCTTCAGATGCACCTCCCCTCCGTTGAAATCTACCAGTTCATAGCTTTCACTGTTGTAAAATCACTACCTCTCCCTTCTCTAAGCAAAAATAATATGGTCCAATCTAGAATTCTAAACAATGGCTTTTGTCGTGACCCAGAAGTACCATGACCCATTGTCCTGAATGAACCTTGACAAGCTAAAAGGTAAACCACCTTTTGTTAGTAGTGTGAAATTTCGAAGAAAATTAAAGTAACCTCTCCAGGACCACTGATGCAGTGCTCTTATAAAATTTATCTGTAAAACACCATAATTTTTTGTGTTATGTTTTTTTGTAATTTGACTTCGAAATTCAATTTTTCTGATAAATCCAGATCGACGGAAATTTTATCGGTAAGTGTTTTTTTCCGATTTTTTTCGGTATTATCCAAAAATCTGCAACCTTAATAATATGTGAATAGTTACTAAATGTTCATAAAAAAGCTTAACTGGCCAAGGCATGTGCATCATACCATATGATTTAGGAACAATATTATATGAGCTTGAACTCTAGAGAAGTTGAACTTTGAGAATATACTAGCATTTAGAAAGTCGAACTGCTATAAACAAGGAAATCAGAGCTTTCACTTTAAGTGCACTGCAGGTACTTCGATAGCCAGTGATGCAGTGGCGTCACAAGGGGGGTGCGGGGGGGGGGGGGGGGGGCATTGCCCCGGGTGCAGCGCTCGGTGGGGGGGGGGGTCGGGGCTGGCGATGAGCGGAGAGGGGCGGACAAGCCGGTGGGGAGAGGGGTTGTCGCCGCGGGCTAGGGTGCCGCTGACCCTAGTGACGCCACTGCAGTGATGAGAAGTGAGTGAAGTGCAATATACTTCAGTCATACCGCAATAGTGAGTTTGTACTCTGAGAGTTCAGTAATATGGTAACCTTTGAAGCACCAGACAAGTCGAAGCTATTTAAAAGACTCACCGGACGATATATGGAATGGTGAGGCAGCAGTGCTGCTGAGCTTTCCTCTCGCAGGTAAGCAGGCAGTGAGCCAGAACTCCACTCCCAAATCCAGACTCTGCCACACTGATGAGGGTAGCCAGGAGACTCTTTGCAAAGTCCAGGAATGGAACACAGCGTTTGCAGTGGTCCACACGACAGGCTTTTGAACTCTTCACTAGCTTAGCAAGTTCCACAATACTCCCAGCACAGGCAATGCTCTCAAAAGAGTGCACATTAGAGACCACCCGTAATAGGACTTGTCCAGCACGATGCATTGGTTTTGGCATCAAAAGCATGTAGCGCAGTAGTCCGCGAAAAAGCCTGGGAGCTATACCCTCATAGTTCAGCTTTTCCAGGTAAGAAAACACAGAAAGGATTCTAAGCATTGTTTCAAGCAAAATTCCTTGAGGGTCACTCAAACAGAATGACAGATTCTTAAAAGAAGACCGTCTTCGTCGCTTGGCAGCAGGCAGAGGAGGCGGACTTTGACGACCATCGGAGCTTCTGCAGGAAACCGCTTTGGCAGCTTCTTGGTCTTCGCTCAGCAAGCAACTGAAGAAAGATTTTTTACGTTTTATGAAGTTGGACCGCACAGGTTTCAGTGAAGCAGCTTCAAGGACAATGCTCTTCACGTGGTCTGGGAGGTTCTCTTCTTGGTCCTCATCATCCGAACAGACCGGAGAGAAGCAGCGGAAGGGTTCAGGGGATGCCACGGACACCGGAGACTCGCATCGTGGAGAACTGCACGAGGACCACACCCCGCTGTCCGGAGAGCGAGGACTTCTTGCTGCTGTTCTGGGAGACACTGGCAGGCAGTAGTAGTCCGGAGAGTTTGGGCTGCACTGGTAGCTCTTGTAGCCAGAGTCAGTTGAGTTCACTTCAAAGTGCTGAGCTGCATTCTCATTCTGGATCTCCTGGTAACTAGGACTGTGAACACAAAAGACCTTGCTGCCCACCTTGCCCATATTTGCTTCCAGCTCAGGGTCATCTTCGTCAAAATCAATTGCCTCTGATTTTCTGGTGCTGGAGTTATCCGTGAAATCCTCCTCCCTTTCTGTGTGCCATGTCTGATTGCAGTCTTGCAACTTGTCCTCCTTTACGACGTTATTTACTGGTACATCAGTATTGACAGTCCCTTTGGTGTCACTGACGTCATCTTGTCGGTTGTTCTCTTGCTTTTTTGCATTTCCTGCTTTGTCTTCCTTCACTTCTGGAGCACTTTTCTTCTGACCTACGCTATCCTTGATGTTGGCACTCGTTGCATCTTGACTGCCGTCCCCCTGCACAGTGTCTGTCGCTTGGCCGGCACACTCTACAGAAGTATGTTCCTCTTGCTTATGCTCCTCTATGTAACTTTCGAGGTGGTCGAGGACAGTCGAAGCTAAGTTAAGGTCCCAGAGCTTTTCCAAGCTGGGCTCGTCGTACCGGAACTGCAGGATAGCACAGGTGGTACACTGCCACATGTCCTTCTTGTCCTTGCTTGCCAGCACGTCCACGAAGAGAGACAATCCCCCAGTCTCTCGAACTCTGATTCGATTGACAGATTCCTGGCTGTAGCGGCAGAGTGCAGAAAAGAGAGCACCATAGCCTACCAAAGAAAGAGAGCGTTGTGTTAAAGGGCAATACAAGAAACATTGCATTAGCAAACGGCAGCAACAGCAGCACTCACTGGGCTTGGACAATGTGTAGTCATTCAACTGGGCCACAAGAGAAGTGACAGCTCCCACGGCTCCCAGGTCTGGACGTACATCTTCGACCACAGAGAGGTTTACGAGCAGGACAAATGCGCCTTCCAGCAGAGTTGTATCCGAGGCAGATAGTAACTCTTCCAGAAACTTGAACCCATCCGCCTCTTTCACCTACAGGGCAGTAAGGCAAGGGGTGAAACAATCGATAAGTCTCCCTCTCAACAGAGAGCATCAACATTGTGAGACTCCAGAGGTTTTCCCTTGTAAAAGATTAGCCTAGTAACAGCATCACACTAGACTTGTGGTAAGCAGAACCTTAAATAAGAGTGATTCATTGCAGGAACAATTGATCATCTTCCAAGAGATTATTGAATTCAGTGTAAGCATACCGATGAACAATAAAGCTGCTGTGTAAGCACTCAAGTGGGAAAAATGCTGATCTTATCTTACTCGAACCAAGAGGTAATGAAGCCCTTCCACTGATTATCAATGAACGCAGCTACAATGTGAGACAAAAGACTGAATAGAACAATAGGTTTGTTTCAGTTACCAGTGACATTATTGCTCAAGAATTTTTTGTGCTATAAACAGTATACCATGCCAGTGTTTGTATAACTTCAGGCATTAATGCCGTAAATGAATTGCTGCTTACTCTTTCCTGAAATGCTATTTTCTGTAATCATCTTAAGATATGGTTGACAGTACCTGATAATAAACAAGTCAATAAATAAATATGGCAATACATTCACAAGCACTGTACCAGTAGCGAAACTATGAGCCACTTAGGGAAGCAGGTGATTAGAAGAAGAAACTACCACATGGTGCAGTTTTTCTGTACGTAAAGATGGGATACTTATTTTTCCTATGCAAGTTCTTTTATCTCTCAGCTTCAGAAGGGAAAGATAGAATGCACAAATAAGAGCTGTATGTATGCTTCAATGCCTGCCATATTTTTTTGCTCAAGTTTGGAAGAAGGTAGGGGGTTCGTAATGCATGAGTGCTGTGTCATGACCTTCTATTTTTTCCTAGTATTCACATCTGTATATGTATAATACCACTTAAATCTTAATTACGCTCTAACATGGTCTACCTTAAGAGGCTTGAAAGCACCATAAAATAAAGAACTGTCATAAAAATGTTTCAGGTATTTTCATTTTGGTAACTTCATCCTTCAGACCTAGAAAGTGAACCAATTGCTTAGCTTCTTGGCTAAGCAATTGGTTAACTTTCACAGCACTCCACATGGCAGCTTTTCCATAGTTTTGCTCAGTGAGCTTGTCTTGAAGGGGCAGTGCAATAATTTTTGTAGTTACAGTAAACACCACTTGGAACATAATTTTTATGTGCATAACCTACGAAATGCACATTAGTTTTGTTCTCCATGCAATAGCAGTCGCAGAAAAAAAGTTAGAGACAAACGGGCAGCATTCACCCCCTCAACTCACAGCAAGAACCAGCCCCATGATCTAGTGCCGAGTACATATGCTGCCAATGTTCATCATTGCTATATGCCGGGTTGGCAAGGCACGGGGTACATGCTGAGCCCCAGACATTGTTAGAATTCGGCTATTGCCATTATGGCATTTGCTGCATATCTGTATTTCGCCACCAGGGGGCCAGCGTCTTCCGGTGGACTTCCCGCGCACGCCGCGCCATTACTCTTTTTCTTGCTCCATGCAACCGCCATGAGGTGTCAACATGTAACCTAACCTGTTAATAAACAATATGTGACTACGTGACAATAACGTTTTTTCCCACCGACGCAACACTGGCGACGAGAACGAACTCACCCGTGGCGGCCGACCGAGCAAGTTACTACTACCCGGAAAACGGTGAGCGTCCAGCCAGTTCAGCTCCAAGCACACCATGTCACAACCAACGCCGGGGCCGACATTTGGAACACTTGCTGCTTTCGACGCAAGCGTCGAATCCTGGACCAATTACGCCGAAAGGCTCGAAGCATTCTTCGAAGCAAACGCCATCGTGGACAGTAACAGGAAACGTTCAATTTTGATCACGTCGGTGGGACCCAAAACTTACGTGCGTCTGCGAAGCCTTTTGGCGCCTAAAAAGCCCATGGACGAGGCCTACGAAGAAATTCTCAAGGTCTTGGCACAGCACCTTAACCCGGAGCCCTCGGAGATCTACCAGACCTACCGTTTTCAAACACGGGTTCAAGGGCCGAACGAAATGGTGGCAGACTGTCGCCGAGCTCCGGAAGATCGCAGACGACTGCAACTTCGGCGCTGCGCTCGAGCGGAACCTCCGCGATCGCTTCGTCATCGGACTGCGCAACAAAACTGTCAAGAAAGTGCTACTGGCTAAGCCGAAGACCTTGGACCTGAATGAGGCGCTCAGAATCGCAAGAGCTGCGGAGGTGGTAACGGAAAACGTCACCCAGCTGCCTAACGCGGCCCAACCTTTGCCGCAAATGACTGAAGTCAGCGTTATGCAGGCCACGGAAAGGAGAGGACGCTTTCAAAAGAAAACCCAGCAGAAGTCTCAGAAGAGCTCAGCGCAACCTTGCATTCGTTGCGGTGACAGCGCACACACTCCACCCAACTGCCCTCACAGATCGACAACATGTTTTAAGTGCAAAAAACAAGGACACCTGGCAAGTGCTTGTCTGGCCTACCAGCGGAAGCCAGGACGACCCCAACAGTTTCACGCACACACCTTGTCGACGGGTGAAGACTATGCGGAACCAAGCGATCCGTCGCAGCATCTGTACTCTGTGAATACAGCACCGTCAGCGGTTCAACCGATTGTCAAGCCTCTCCAGTGGGGGCAAGTGACGTTAAACATGATCGTGGACACCGGCTCACCCGTGTGTGTCATCTCCAAAGACACATATAGCAAACATGCTGCTTCATGGCCTGCTCTTAGTCCAACGGACACAAATCTATATTGCTACCTTGGAAAACTGCCAGTGGTGGGAGCCCTGCACCTACCAGTAAAAAACGGCGACAAGCAAGCAAGCGGTGTCTTGTATGTGGTGGACTATCCGGGCCCAATTCTGTGTGGTCGCGACATCATCCAGGAGCTACAGCTTCTGTCTGCTGAACACGTCGGCAGCCTGCTGCCCTCTGACAACAGTGTGGCAGGCAACGACCGTCAAAGAACTAAAAGAAGAGTTCAAAGACCTGTTCGAAGAGGGAACAGGCCTGATGAAGGGTCCCCCTGCACACCTCAACTTGCGGAAGGATGTCAACCCCAAGTTCCTGAAGGCACGCTCACTGCCATATGCACTGCGCGACAAGGTGGCGGCAGAGCTGGACAGGCTATGCAGCAGTGGAATCTTATCACCAGTGCCTCATGCTGACTGGGCTACCCCCGTGGTACCTGTCACGAAGAAGGACGGCGGAATCCGCATCTGCGGTGACTTCAAAGTGACTCTCAACACTGCTTGTGACTTGGAACAGTACCCGCTTCCACGAATTGAGGATATGTTTGCATCTTTGAAGGGTGGGTACTGGTTTTCCAAACTCGACTTGCGAGAGGCATACTGTCATGTCGCCTTGGACGAGGAATCCAGAAACGCGTGCGTCATCAACACGCACAAAGGACTGTACTGCTATAACCGCCTTCCGTACGGCATTGCCTCTGCACCTGCATTATTCCAGAGGAAGATGGAGAACATCCTTCAGGGGATCCCAGGAACTCAAGTCTTTTTGGACAATGTCCTAGTCGCTGAGGGACCACACGATTTTGGAAAGACCCTCCGGAGAGTGCTCAGTACACTCAGGGAGAATGGCATCCGCCTAAGAGAAGACAAGTGTGAACTTGGTTGCGAACAAGTCATGTACCTGGGTCACCGGATCGATAGAGAGGGACTTCATCCATCAGAACAAAAGCTCGAAGCCATCATGAAGGCTCCAGCACCACGGAACCTACACGAGCTTCGTTCCTTCCTGGGATTATCAGCTACTACAGAAGCTTTCTACCTCAAATGTCCAAGCTACTGGCACCACTCTACAACCTGCTCCGGCAAAATGTGAAGTGGAGGTGGGAAATCAAGGAAGATGCAGCCTTCAACAACGCAAAGCAGACACTTCTGCGGTCAAGTCTCCTAGTGCACTACGACCCCACTCAGGAACTGATCTTAGAATGCGACGCATCTCCGGAAGGCGTTGGAGCAGTGTTGTCGCACAACGTCAATGGGGTCAACAAACCCATCGGTTTCAGATCCAGGACACTCACCAGTGCCGAGAAAAACTACTCACAACTTGAAAAAGAGGCCCTGGCACTAATTTTTGGAGTAACCAAGTTTCGTGACTACTTGCTTGGTAGAACTTTCACGCTTAAAACTGATCATGAACCCTTGGTAGGGCTTTTCAAAGAAACCAAAGCAACACCAACCACCGCAGCTGCCAGAATCCAGCGCTGGGCACTCACGCTTGGGGCATACAGTTACAGGATTCAATACAAGCCTGGGCAAGCAAACCAAAATGCAGATGCGTTAAGTCGTTTACCACTCCCACATGACCAGCCAAGAACTGAAGACAACAGATTACAGGGAGTGCATGTCCTCGACATCTTGGACACCAGTCCAGTTTCTCGGAAGCAGCTGGAAGATCTTACAACGACGGACCCTGTGCTTGTGGCACTTCGAGAGATCATTAAGAAAGGTTGGCCAAGGAAACTTCAAGATCCAGTTCTTCAGCCATTCTGGCCGCAGAGACACACCTTCTCCTTGGACGGTCTTCTCATCCGCAGGGGGGAGAGAGTGGTTATGCCCGAGAAAGCACGAGACGCTTTCCTACAGGAGCTCCATGACACACACATGGGTATTAACGCGACTAAAGCACTCGCACGGTCAATACTCTGGTGGCCAGGTATTGATCATGCAATCGAAGATGCTCTGCGAGCTTGCACAGTGTGTCAACAGGCTGCACCGATGCCATCAGCAGTAGAACCACTAGCCTGGCCAGCAACCACTGCACCTTGGACAAGAATTCATGTTGATTACGCAGGACCTATCGATGGTACCATGGTGCTCATCGTGGTTGACAGCTACTCAGGCTGGATTGAAGCACTACCTACACCAGCCGCAACTTCAGCAGCAACAGTTGATCACCTGAGAAGTCTGTTTGCCCGTTTCGGACTGCCTGTTTGCCTGGTGTCCGACAATGGAACATCATTCACTGGATCACAATTTAACGAGTTCATATCCCTGAACAGTATCCGCCATTTAAGGACTGCACCGTATCATCCACAATCGAATGGGCTTGCAGAGAGAGCTGTAAGGACTGTTAAGGATGGCTTGAAGAAACTCTCGGGAGGTTCCCTCGCCACACGTTTGGCAAGATGGCTGCTTGTGCATCGTCGCACTCCGTCGGCCACCCGAGGCCAATCTCCAGCAGAGCTGATGCTCGGCTTTCGCCCGAAAGTTCGCATGGACCTCGCCACCATGATCACCAGCGAGCCAAAGGACGACACAGAAGGACTCTGCAACCTCAAAGAAGGGAATCCTGTGTTCGCAAAGAACTACGGAGTTGGTGAGCGTTGGGTGCCGGGAGTCATCTCGAAGGTTTTGGGAAACCGTATGGCTATAGTGGAGACCCACCACGGCTCAATGAGGCGCCAGATCGACCAGTTGCACCCCCGACACCATGGCTCTACTGTTCCAGAGACTTCTGTGGATTGGCCACCGGACCCGAGCCTTTTCGACAGTATACCGGACAGCCGAACTGAAATTCGATCTACCCCACTACGACGCTCTGTGCGAACACGCAAGGCACCAGACCGGATGGACTTATAGCTAGTGTGGGGGAGTGCTGCATATCTGTATTTCGCCACCAGGGGGCCAGCGTCTTCCGGTGGACTTCCCGCGCACGCCGCGCCATTACTCTTTTTCTTGCTCCATGCAACCGCCATGAGGTGTCAACATGTAACCTAACCTGTTAATAAACAATATGTGACTACGTGACAATAACGTTTTTCCCCACCGACGCAACAGCATTGAATGCTCATTGAGGCATTGTCATGAGCCTAAGCCGAGTGCTCACTTGCGCAGTGCAATCATGTCCAATCTATAAAGAGCATTTGAATATTGTGAGCACAGGTAACACCGGCAACTATGCCAACAGTACAATCCCAGTGGCTACATCATAAAATTTTGCTAGAAAAAGATTTAAAAAAAGTCAATTTTTATCCTTAAGTTTACACTGCGACAGGGAATATTCTTGATCATTGGCAATGCATGTGAGTATTGGCAAGGAGATTGAAATATAGAGGGCACTCTGACCCATTTGTTGTCCCCACATCTCAGTGTTTACCCAACATAAAGCTTGTGGACCTGACTCTTTACGTCATTTCCTTCAATGCAGCGCAGGGCACAGTGTAACATAAAAATACTAACAATAAACAAAGTGATGTTTATTGTTCGTGCTGCATCTCTCCCGAAAGCAGTTGTCAGAGAATGTGAGCTTGACCCACTTTGGCTTTTGTGCTGAGGTGGGCATATGCACCGTGCATGCTGCATTGTTCATGCAGGCCACAGTAGTAACAAAAAAGTCCCTCCTCCCCCCCGGGCGGAGATCACAAACTCTAGCCGAAAACTGACGCAGCGTCCGGTTACATCAGCCGAGTGCTGAGTCATTGTTATTTGTTCTCCCCATCCGTGTAGTTCTAAAGTTAGCCGCTTGGGGCACCACGGTCTAATCTCCTCCCCAATACTTGGGTCCCACCTCAACAAGCTTGTATAAAGTGGGAACGTCCCAATTCAATGTTGCATAACCCCTTTAAATATTAAAAAAAAAATGTATTAATTAAATTAAATTAATTTAGTTAATTAATTATTAACTAAATTAAAAAAAAAATTAAAAAAACTTAAATTTTTAAGCCCCTTTAGATAGCACAGTGTGCTGCTTATGCTCAGCATGTGGCTAACCATTAAGGAGCAGTCGACGGTTTAGCAACAAATATTATCATAAGAAAGCAATATTTGATTTTACAAAAAGCACTGCAGCCTCCAAAACTGCAACATATAATTTAAAGAAATGTGGTTCTCTATCTGGATTTGGAAAATCTATTCCCATTAGAAATTCTTGCATATTTTTGTGCACCCTCATGAGGCGTATCCAAGACCAAATGGAAGCTCCCAGGAAAGCAGCTCCCAGGAAAGCAGCTACCAGGAGAGCAGCTGCCAGAACGACGACACTTAAAAATCACTGCAACTTTTGCAGAGCAAGCCTTCAATCTCCAGACATGATCCAGCTACTGGTCTTTTACCTTAATTATTTGGGGTGCCAAATGGAAGAGTTCTTCCAGCGAGAATGGAAAGCAGGGGCAGGGGCAGTGACACCGACATTTGCAAAATGGTTGCTTCAAAGTTGCTGACAGGCTTCTGTTTGCAGGCTGGGATCATCCCCAGACTGGAAATAGCAACAGTCACTGACAGGATGAGAAGGGCAGGGAGAACTTTCCGTTGTCCCACCTTCAGCACGAGTGCCCTAGCTACCTTCGATAAAGCTTCGGAGTCTCGTGCACATCGAGAGTGCACAGGCAGTCACAGTACAGCGAAACACAGCGAGCATGTGCTGGAGGCAGGACGTCGTAAGGGGATGCCCCGCCGTTCTCATTTTGTCCATGACCATAGGTAGACATGTACCGCGCTGTCCAAAATGCCGAGACTCTACCTGCATGGCACACTCCACAGAACATGACTGGGTGACAGTGGTGAGCGCTTGGAGTGCGAACTTCTGCAATGGTTCCGTCAACAGCAGCTTGGCAATGGCGGCGGGCGCCTTGTGTTTCACGAGGTCGTCCCGGCAGTTGGGGATGTTCGCCAAGATCCTGTGGATCCAAAGACGATGCAATCGAGATGCGTCAACAGAAAAAATCTTGATCGGGGGAGGGCTCCGTACCTGAGGGCACGCAGTGCAGTGAGCTGAGTGTCCTTGAGCTTGGCCGAGGTTAGCAGTTCCGCAATGTGCTGCGTCGCCTCACACCGGTGCAGTTCCCTGGCACCCCGACTTGTGAGGGCAATGTTCGCCAGCCCACGGCAAGCTCTGTTCCTGATGCTTTCCTTCTCGATACAGGAGAGGATCCGTACTGACAGGCAGAGATTGGACATAGGGGGCATGATTAACTGGACATTACGATAACCTTCTGAACAAATAACATAAAAAAAGTTTTCTGTATTTATTTTTTTTTTTGAGGGGGGGGGGGGGGGTTAAAGGTGCAGGGGAAGGAGGGATTGAATGGGGAAAAGTGGGTTTGGGGGGGGGGGGGGGGGGGGGTTGATCGCAATTATCCCATCTTCTAAAACCTCAAACTTTAGCCCGAGTATTTATAAGGACAACAGTCAATTGCTCACCAATGCTTCGGACACCATTATTTCTTATGACCTGTAAAAAAAGAGGAACTTTCTCATTACCACTATAACAAAAACAAAGAAAGATAATGAGGGCGGGGTCACTTCGATGGGCGAGTTGTGAAGGAATATACCTCTTCCCGGACCTTGTCGACCAAACAGCAGTTGGCGAGGATGCTGAGGGTGATATCGGAGAATTTGGGCTTCTCAATAAGCCCTAGGAGCGTGATAATGCCCTTTAAATCGCAAAACTTCGACACAGCTGTGGTGTCTTTCCTGCATAGCTTGCTGATTTCAGCGAGGGCATTGAAGGCAGCGGAAAACGAACCTGCGTTGACCGTTTTGATGAGATCGCTCAGAACATCGTGGAGATTCATTCTGCCATCGGAAATGTGTCTCAAACCATGTTTTTAAATAACTTTGCGTAAATGGGGACGATCTCGCTGAAGCCTAGTTATGTTTACCCAGTGTTTTGAACCGAGCGATCGCCGACCGCCATGATTAGAGAAATATTTGTTTTTGTTGTTATTGTCCATTGTCATAGTTGTTAAAACTTAATAAATAAAATCAATAAAATGCATACAATACGTTTATATATCTTTATCGCGACTATAAAAGAAAGAAATTATATCAATAAAGTGATTAAAACGTTACCACTCAAACGAAACCGAAAATACGCGTAAGTCTTCGGTTTCAGTTCTGAGGCGTATCTCTTTTTCTAGAATCTATTTTGCCCGTTTTGCCAATGCTAAGCATTGATCTTGTAAAGAGTATAAAAGTGGCATGATTATCTGAAACCTATGGTTTGGCCGCTTAAATGCTCTTGTAAGCATAATACTTTTCAGAACAGTCATGGTCATGACTGACTGTTCCTCTCAGAACAATCACATGATTTGCAATTTTCATCGTATTTCTATATCTGATGTTGGCCTTCTATTTTCCACGGCGACTATGGGATGTTAACAGCACGCAATAGAGAGGGCACACACCTAGACCGGTCCCAAACATCGTGACACACCCATCTTCTAGATATATCTCAGAAAAGGGGTGTAAAGCAATGTTTGGTCGCGTTTTTAATATACAGAAAAAGGCCACGCATAATTGCAATTTTTGGTTTTCAAGAATGCTTAGAGTGCATAGACTGAGTTTGCGCTATAAAATGAATAATCTCAAGATACACTTTTGGCGAAAATAAAATCGCCATAGGAATATGTGAAACTCCGAGCCTCCTTTTAGACCCCATATTTACCCAAGCCATCAATTTCCTAGAATGTTATTTTTAAATGTAGATGCACAAACGAGAGTGCACCGAGACATATGTAGCAATATCTCCTTGTACACATATCCGATAAATTCCCTTACAGCTATCTTTTATAAATTTGCATTTAAAATTGAGCTTTGCGGAAAGGAATCGTGCAAAGGCATTTTGGCAGGGCGTAATGTTTGTTTGCAGAGTATTTTGTACCTATCAGCAAAACTTCTTAATTGTATTACTGTCCGAACCTGATTCCTGAACAAGGTTGCTGAAGCATAGCGTTTTCTTGGAGGTTGATTCAGAATGGTGCTTACCTGCAATTCCTATGAGGTGTATTATGCTTGTCCAAGTATCTATATATTCCTTCAAATGTGCAAGCAATTCTGCATCAGAGGAAAGATGCTCTGCAGAGCTCATGGCTGCCTTCTTGTGCGCGATATTCTGGTGCTTTCTGATAGCCTGGAGTATACTGTGCGCAATATTATCATTAACCATACTCTGCAGTCACTCTGAAGAATATTCTTCTGATATTCCCACACATGTGTAGCCCCGGACTTGAGGTCATGTAGATATTAACATACCTCTACAGAATGCTCCTTTGACCATCCAGATAGATTTTTAAAACTCTAATCATGAATGGAGGATTGACCATAAGCTCTGCCTTGGGGCAAAACATAGTGATATTTTGTTTGCCAGAAGAGATGTTTTTCTTTCTAAGCCGGAACCTAATGGTAATCTTTCTGGGAACTGGATATTTGCAAGTGCTTTTTGTACCGATCCAAAGTGGTTAGCTACATCGCTTGCAGAAAAGTCACTTCTGTATGAGCATGCTAGAGTGAAATTCACGAAATGCCAGCTTAACTATAAAGTTCCAGTTTGGCTTTCCGAAAAATAGAGTTTATGTACCAGTATATGTATGAATTGAAACTAAACAAAAGGTAGAACCCATACCAAATGTAATTTCTGATCAAAGCAGTCCGGTCATAGATCCGGTTAAGAAAACATTAGCCTAATTTTTGTAAAACAAATTGCAGAATACATTATGGTAGACATTTTCTAAAGCTTGAACTGGTCAGTTTGATTGCACCTTTGCCATACTAATGATGGCCTTCCAAGGGTTGATGAACAAAGGAGATGAAGGCATGAGCCCAGGTGGAGAATACGAGACCTGTACTTATGAGACACACAATGACGCGACGCATGCAAGAGATGCATCGGTGGTTCACTTTGAACTCCGGTCCAATCTGTCAGTTGACACATGCTCCAAAGCCCCTTGACATAACAAATTTTATCCGGGGATTTACTAGAGCTATACTCCATTTCACGATAATTTGGCAAACTGTGGAGGCTAAGGCCCCGCAACCCAATAAGAGCGTCAGAGTGAGGCACGTGACCCAACGTCATGGAAGCATTTCTGTAACCATGTCAAATGCGAGGCGCGAGGCCCGGAGGAACCGGCTGTTATCTGCTAGCCAAAAGTCGTATGCTCTGAAACCAATGAACTTCGGATGAACGTCCACCGCAGCAACATTTCCGTCCGCTAGAATAGTGAGCGCTTCGAGAACAGTTCATGAGACAACCATACACTCATTTTAGCAGCAAATCTGCGATGGGTGCTAATGCCAGGGCACAGCGCAATGTTTTGAATGGAAACGGCCGATTACACGGCTGCGTTTACCGGCGATCGGCAACGGCCTCGTAGCGCACAGGGCAAAACAAATCGAGCGGATATGGATGTGACGTTACTTTTTTGGTTTAAAATTGAAACTCAAAAATTAGTGATTATTCATTCTTTATTCTTCATATATTCTTGCTGTAGATGGAATCGCGCAAGTTCAATTGCCGTTAAAGGAAAAAGAAGCCTAGAACTACTTTTTGTTGAAAAGAGCTCCGCTGCTGTGGCGTTAACGAGGCCCCGGTGGCCTCGACCATGGCGTGTTATCACGTGCCTTGCTCCGGCGCTCTTATTGGGTCATGGGGGCCACCAGCCTCCACAATTCGCCAAGTCATTGTGAAACGGAGTATAGGGCTTCAAAATTTCCAGCTGTTTCTGTGTCCCCATCAAAACTAGACAAATCGACAAGTAACTGCACGGTCGACTGCCGTTGATGCACAAATGTGATGGTGCCCAATGAAATACTAATATTTTCAGTAAGGCAGAAGCTAAATTTCTATTCGAGCCACTAGGTGGTTCTGAATTTCAGAAAGGGCCTATCATGTGGTCAGAGCTCACAATGGATTTCCGTGTTATTAACGTCATTAAGCTTCAGAACGATATTCCACAATAAATGTCATCAAACAAGAGCACAGATAGTACTAACAATTGCAGGTCTTGTTTATTTCTCTCGCTTAAATATTACAGCAAAAGTTTAAAAGTTTTCCTTGGCGGTAACACATGCCATGCAGTTGCACCGATATTACAAAATGCACACAATCAATTAAATGTCTCGTTGTTGAACATAGGTCAAGTGTTACCGGTCAAAGGGTATCTTGCAGGATACTGTTGCAATGACTTGGCTACCCACCAACTAAATCAAGGAAAAAGAAACACAATCTAGAGTTCCAGTAAAAACCTAAACACTGAAGAAAAAAAAAGTGATGAAGCCACAGCACTACAACGTCAATAACCCAGAAGCAATGCCTGACAGACCAAAGAACAAAATCTGAAAGGAAATTGTTTTAAAAAGCTATATACTATATATATATATATATATATGTATATATTGCCAAAATTTCAAATCACAACTTGCATGCAAATGAAAATAAAAGTTCCTATGGAGACCAAGGAGATGCACTGTGCATAAAATGTTTCATGTACATAATTGCAGCCATTATCGTGAAAGGCCCACTAAAAAGCAGTGACTAACACATTTGGGAAACATATTTCAACTGTCCACAGCTTGTGACAAAAGAAAATGCGACAACAAGAAACCCAAAGGACGGAAACAAAGATAAAACAAGGTGACTTGTTACAGTGGTGTGCAAGATACAGAGTGTCACAACTTCAACCTCAAATAATTTTCCAGGGACCAACCATGCAGAGACCAACAACCATTTGAGCAAGAAAGACTGCCACATTGCAAAACACAGCACTGCCTGCAAAGGGGTGGAAAATGCTCTGCAGCTGCTCAACGTTGGCTATTCATAGAAAATGCCGTTCAAGTGTTCTTTCTTCAAGAACTAAAGTAGTCAACTTGGTAATGAGATGTGGATGCCGAAAAAAAAAAAAAAAAAAAAGTTCAGAGACTTGCTGAAAATTCCCCATGTCAAAACAGAGAGCATTGCTGCCAAATTCAACAAAACATAAAGGTGAAATGCTTGCAGTCACAAAGTAAAATTGAAGGTATGCTAAAAGTCCTGCTTCTGCCAAAAACATGCGTGCAAATCAGCCTGCAGTATTCGTGCTGCAAGGTAGTACAAGACTTAAAAAACCTTGTATCTCCTAATTCTTTTAAAAAAAAAAAGGAAGAGAAATGAAGTTTCTTTTTACTGACATCAAAGCAGGGTTGTTTCCTTCCCTCATGAATATATCTTAAAATAAACCACAAAAGTTTTAATGAAAACAAGTTTGCAAAACCGCAACATCAAAAAGTAAACTAAGTAAGGACCTGTGGTCCAGAGTAAGAACTTAGAATTATGAATCTACAGAAAAGACAACCACAGCCAGCAGTCTTTTTTTTTTTTCAGCTCTTGAGTACTAAGCAGTAAATACCGATAGTTGTTTGCACATCAAGCACAGCGCCATAAAAAAATTTGGTTTCCTGTAGAGTGCTACTCGAATTTCACCTGAAATATAAAAAAAATAAAAATATTATAAGAGAATATAAAAATGTAAAAAAAATCTAATTTGGAAAAAAAAAGCAGTTTAGAGATTTAAAGAGAGTTATCGGTTACTATTTCATTAGGAAGTACACTTACGAGGTGCAAAAAACCACCATTTTGTCTTCTGATAACTGTGTCGTGGAAGTACTACTAGTACTCTGTGCATGTATAAGGATGTTAACGTAACTGCTAGACATTTAGTCTTGAGATGCGAATGGCTATTTCCTAAAAATGGCTTCCGTCGCTTCTACCTTCATAATTCATGTTGGAGTCGTTGATATTTTGTTTGAAGACAAAAGCGACCTTCAACTGGGTAATATGTTGCATACAAGCGAAAAATTCATTGTTGACTTTGGCACCGTTGTTGTAAAAAATGCACCGAAGAGCATTACAAATGTCAAGTGTATGTTTGTACTGGTACATTTCTTCGGGAGAAAGACTAAACACTGTAATATTATAGTTTAGGGAGTCTGAATTCGATTCCTTTTCCAATCAATCACTGCAGACTTTGTTTCTGTGACAGAGGGTGCAAAGTGATCAAGAGTCCGACAGTTCTTGACTATGACTCGAGAAATGTAAAGAGCTGTGGTGGAAGACACCAAATCTGGATGTTTGCTCCAAAAATGCAAAACCCAACAAGCAAAAAAACAAAAAATTCGAAGTCAAAGAAAGTTTTTGTAATTATACGGTAATTCAAAGACGTAAAATGTTGATGCTGCAACACTGAGAACAAACAGCCAAAGGCTAGAAAGTCGGGGCTTTTCGTCGTCGGAAGCCAGTTACGTCGAGGACTTCACAAACAAGATCTTGGCAAGCCAAAAAAAACTTGGCGCTCCAGAGCAATTTTTGAAGCTCCTTGATTACGAGAATTCGGAGTACAAACGCGATTCAACTGCCCTGTTTAAGGAGCTTAAACGTAAACAAGCACTCGCCGCACCTTGGGCGGATCGCAAGTCCGTGTCAAAGCAACGCGGACGAGAGCCAAAGAAACACAGCCATTCGACCTTGGAAATTCGTTAGAGGTCACACACACCAAACGAGTTTCTGCGACAGCAGACATAGGCATCCAAAGGAGCCGTCTACAAATCTGCAAAGCTGGGAGGGAGGACATGACGAGGAAGAAACACAGTTAAAGACCCCGAGTTTTAAAGCGCCGGAAAAGAGATCCGGCGACGGAGGCTAGAGCGGTCTCAGCCGAAGAGCTTCTCGAAGCAGGCGTGACAGTAAGGCTTGTCGTTCTGCTCCTTGAAGGTGCCCTTGTTCAGCTGTCCCAGGCAGAAGGAGCAGACAAAGTGCTCCGGGTGGTACTTGCGGAACATGGCCGTGATGCAGCGCCCCGTGATCGGCTTGTGGCACCCGGCACACAGTGAGCCCCGCTTGGCGTGGTAGTGGGTCTCGCAGTACGGCTGCCCCTCGTGGTCGTAGAAGCTGCCGCCATTGAATGGCTGCCGGCAGTCCTGCACAAAAATGGAGCGGGGGTTCGTTTGTCAGAGTCGTTCTGGCGTTTCTGTCCAGGGACAAAATTACAGAAGCAGCAGCTCATGCTGGGAAAAACTGTGACTGAATTAGTCTTCTATAGTCACTTAAAAGGGGAGAATGGCAGGGCATCTCTCTCGAATGCCTGGCCTCTCGCACACAACTTTTGCCTGCCATTGCGTTTTGGCCGCAAATTGCACGAGATGCCGAAGCGCTGTTGAAGGTAGAAAGTTTGCGCTGGAGGTAGGAGACTAAAACTCCTCTCTGCCATTCTCGTCTTGTCAGTGACTACAGTGATTGAATGCAAATTTCAATGACGAAACCAAGCATTTAAGTATGTCTTGAAGGTTTAGAAAAATATTTCGCCAGCCATATGTGTGTTCCTTCCCAGCCCTATACTTTTTCTTGGTAGATCAATCGGGAGATGGGATTAAAAACACAATTATGACTCTCGCTTATGCAAGTGACTTAATTCAAGGAACTGCGGAACCCCCCCCCCGAGTCTTCCAAGCACGCTTTTTGTTTTTATTTATCTCTCATAATTCAACCCCAACAGGTCCTCTTTCAAATGTGTAATGTCAAAAACTGCAAAAAAAAAAAAAAAAAAAGGTTGAGCAATACAAGTTGCAACACTAAAAGAGCAACATCGCTTTGAGTAACTCGTCGATTAGATTGTTCACCAGACATTCAAACATTCAACCATCGATTGCCATTGAAACAATAGCCACGTGTGCCGCATTTCTAGGTATGCTTTGCTTAGCTTATTTTATTATTTCGTGTTGATCCTCCGCACTGAGCCATTCGCAAGACTGCTGCTTTATGCTGAATTCTTTGGGAATCAAGACCCCTTCTCCTGTTTCCATCTCTCACTGGTACCAGGACGACTAGAAAATGAAAACCCTACATCTGCACCTTTTTCTTTCTTTCCAACACCAGTTTTGATAAATTTATATTTTTTGTCAGACACCGGAAATTAACACCAAAAAACAGATTCTGTGAAAAAAAAAAGACAAATTCAAAATAAAAATAAATCCCAAAATATGGAACCCTATTAATATATGATAAGCAATTTTGACAAATATACAATGAATAACTCTGATGGTTGTCCTTTGCTTTTGCATCTACAAGCTTAAAGACCCACAAAGGGGGAGACGACCCAAGGCAACAAAAAAGTGCCCAAACAAAAAAATGCTTGTGGAAAATAAAATTTTCATTAAAGATGCATGCATCTTGCGAGCTACGCTTTACTGGCAAGGAATACAGGGAGACTAGCAGCCGAGCGAGCTAGTGAGCTCGGAGCATGGGAAGCCAAAGCTTGCGCTACGGAACCCAAGGTTTATTAATGGGTTCCATTCCCGCCCCTGCACGTCTCCATTCAAAGCGTCGTACCGGTGTACGGCAGAGCAATCACTACTGCGCAATGCACATTGGAGAAACCCCTGGTTAGCGGTCACACTGCACTGGCCAGATTGCCCATCTACAGTGGAGATGCCATTTTCATGCAGTCTGACTTTGTGTTGCCTAAACATCCATATAGCAAATTTTGCTTTTTCCAAGGATATAGTGTTGGAAGATTAACTAGTATATATCAGCCCCCATTCTTGGGAACCACAAGTTAGTAAAAAGGAGAGTATGCAAGTAATCTCGGTATGGGCACTGTGTGCACGTCACTTCAAAGTCCCAAATACTACATAAAAACCAGCCCCAAATGAAACTACCGAACATTAAACGTAGCGTTCATGCTGGGATAATTAAATTTAAGCGATTGAACATTAACTATTCAACTTAAATTCATACGCAACAAACATTCCACACAAATGTTTAAATGTTAAACATTGAATATAAAATAATGAACATTAAATGCTGCATTTAAATTTTTTGACTGATTCAAGAAATTGCACTCACAATCATGTGAGAGCTTAGCCATTAGTGAAACGTTTATTGTGGTTTGGCCAACGAAATATGCACACAACTTATCTTGAAGATTTAGTGAATCCAATGAGGAAAGAATACTCATACCAAACATATGTTACCCTGGTAAGTGCCTTTTTTAGAACAGATTACGGCCATCAACCTATGGCATACACACTTCTGAGCATTCTTAACCAGCTCAATGCACAGAACATAGGGCTTAATAGGCAGTTTTTGGGAGATGATACTCCCCTATCGTATCGGCCACGCTTGAACAATGTATGGCTTTGCTTCTGCCGAAGTAGTTATTTGAGTTTTATATTTGTTCATGTTTTTGTTCAGATGCAGTATAACAGTGATTTGTGAAATCTTGCTACCTTTTTTTTTCTTTGCACGCTCTGTCGCAATTGCTGGTGTCATAGGGGCTTGGGACCAATCAAGATGTTTAAACAGCTTTTTTTCCAAGTCCCCTCCAACACTATTTTTTGTTGCTATTGGGGTATAAACAAATATTATTATTATTTTTATTACTATTTACGAGAAGCACAGCTGAACCTTAAGAACTGCCCGTGCAAAGGTGTGACAAACTGCTGAAATGCTGTTGGCCAACATCTTTTTATTTACATGTTCAGATGCACATGCCGGGACACAATAGATGTGCAGGTTTTGCACACTGCTACATGAACCCTTTTTTTTTTCCTTTTTTCAACTAATACTACATAGTTGCATACCTATGCTAATTTTGTTGGCATAAAATAAAATTTATTTAACCTCTACATACACAGGAAGCTCGCAATGGCTACTTTGTTTAAATCTATTTTATCTGATCCAGGATTCTCGACTTGATTTTAAATGCCATGACCTATGGCCCCGTCGTTTCAAGATGACTTAAAAATGGGAGCTTACAAAGACTACCAAAATAAATAAAAATAGCAGATTAAGTAATCTGGTATAGGTTGTATGGATGTTCAGACAGCAGAAAGACCGTTACTTGTGTCCCCCTTGTCACTGGTGGTTACTCATAGTTACTCGTGTCCACATTGGTGCAGCAAAAATGCACCATGAAGCGAAGATCATACGAAGGCACGCCATTACAACTTACATTCATATCAAAAACGGCCAATGTGACAGGTGAACTGATGATGTCTGACTAAAGGCTTTTAGGCCTTTATTTCTTCACCAAACTGTTTCACCTCCCCCCCCCATCCCCCTACAATACTACCAACAATTTTTCCCATATCTCTTCAAGCAACACAGGCAGAACAGGGCATTGTAATGGCGTAAATGTCTGAATGTCTGATGAACAAAACGAGCGAAACAAGCGCGACCATGTTTATTCTTCTATCCTTTTCCCTGTGCACCATCGAGTGCCATCCACACGGGCCATCGTCTCGGCACCGTCCAGCCGTTGGCAGTGTTGAAAACTTTCGTCACTCTTGCTCTTGCTGCAGTTGTTGTTGCTGTCAGAGAGAAAGAGCAGGCCGGTTGACTCACCAAGCTCCTAGATCTCCAGAAAGAAAAACTAGCAACCGTCTTCCGTGTGCCCTTATGTTCTGCGATACTCTGCCTACGAGATGGGCAACGGCTCCTTGCGTTGCGCTTTTTCCTATTTCCTCTATACAGCCTGCAAGTGCTAGCTGAGAATAGAAATAGCTTCCCAAGCATAAAGGCACGACGGTCACGGAAAATTACTATACTACGTCAATGTCCAATAAGGAAAGAAACTGTTGCAGATTCCGGAATCGCAACTGGGGAAATAAAATTCATTGGCTACGTAGGCATCTGTGCACACCCTGTCTCTGCAATACTTGACACAATCTAGTCTCCGGGCCCCAAAGCTAAGATTCGAAATGGGGCACGGTTACACCGTGCCAATCCGAGTAGTGGAATCGAATGGATAAGCGCAGACAAGCTTTGAAACGGCGACAAATGTGCTGCCAAGGATGCCGTTTCCGGTCCCCCTAGCCAAAGGAAGCTAAGCGTCCTCAAGGAATGCCTGGTGCTGTCTTCAAGACTCCGCTGAAGTCTCGTTTGCGAAAGTACCGTCGCTCAGCGCGTGCAGACTCCCGCACCCTCAGGGTATCTGAGAAGAGGACATGAGGAAGAAACCCACGCGGCAGACGAAGCACTCGGGGTGCCACTGCCCGTTGAGGGCGGAGATGTAGTTCTCGGTGATGGGCCGGTTGCAGCCGCCGCACTTGGGGGCAAACAGCTCGAAGTAGTCCTCCTTGCAGTAGGGCTTGCCGTCCTTCTCGTGGAAGCCCCCCTCGCCAAACTGCTTGCCACACTGGGCGCAGAAGAAGTGCTCCGGGTGCCAGGTCTTGTCCAGGGCCGTCACGCATTTCTGCAGGGATTACCCGGAAGCACCCTTCAACATCGCTCGCACCAAGCGCTCGGAGCCCAGGTAGGCTGCCCTTTGCTTTATTTTCTTACGCATTTGCCGGTGAGTTAGATCTGGCGGAGTTAAAAATTTATAATTAGTAGTGATGTGACCTGCACTACCAGGAGATCTGTGGTGCGAGGAATACTGCCCAGTTCCCTGTTCTTCCCCTTTGAGCAACTCTACGTTCTCCAATTCATTTAAAAAAAAAAAATATATATATATATATATATATATATATATATATATTTTGTTTGTTTATCTCCTGACAAACTTTACTTCCTTCAGTTCATTACAATACTTTCGAAATTTTTACTCTGATAAACCTCACTAATCAACCGAAACAGGTATTTAACATGAAGACATTGCAACGAGAACAACTGGAAGTGCTTTAAAATTATATTAAGTAAGAAAAAAGCACACTAGGCTAGCCCACCTGTGCATAAAATTGCCAAAAGAGTTCCGCTACATAATGTTCCCACCTATTATACGATTTCAGTCGTGTAATAAAGTTCTTTCTTTCTCTCGCTCAAAGTACAAAAATGCATTTGTATGGCAAAGGAGAGGAGGATCTCAAGCCTCTTGTCCAGCGATAGCGGCCCGACTGCAGGTTTCCCGCCTCCGCACTTACGTCGAGGATGGGCCCGTTGCAGTAAGCGCAGCGGGGCGAGAAGATGTTGTGGTAGTCTGTCTCGCAGTAGGGCTCATTGTCCCGCTCAAAGAAGTTCTTGGTGCCCAGTTCCTGGTTGCAGTGGGCGCACGTGAAGTGCTCGGGGTGCCATGTGCGCCCCAGGGCCGTCACCACCTTCGGGGGGGAGGGGAGAGGCGGAAAGTGCAGGAAGCAGAGAGCGTTTAAAAAGTGGCAACCTACCTAACCTCCTTTCGTATACTTTTCTTATATTTTTTGTAACTCCTATTTTTAAGTTATTTCTTTTCAGGCTTAGTACCTGCAAGTGCACCACTGCTGAAGGATGCAACTATACTCAACTACAGATCCTGTGGCTAGTTTGAAGAGCTGTGAGCCCAGTCCTCAGTCTGTTTCGAGTCAGTTTCAACCCCAAAGGCATCATTCCATATTTTGACTGTCTCTACTTTCAATGCTGCAACTATACCAGAGCGGGATTTCCTTGATAGGGATAACGATAACTTCCAATGCTTGTTCCAAGTCGCGAATAAAAAAAAGACAGACTGACGTATGATGAGGAGTCGAAGCATTTAACTGTCAACTTCCTTACGACTTCTGAAACTAATACAACGTGGGCAACAACCAGCACCCCTGTGACGTCAACTGACATTATAAATCACCGCCGGCTTTAAAAACGCGGGGCGTGGCGAGTTCCAGGCATCTCATTATTGCTACGCAACCAAAGAGATTGCCACATCGACCGATAAGAATGTCAAAGAACGAACAAAACAAGAGTTTGGAAAGCCACGCCCCGTGCTTCTCAGGCCGCCGGCGACTGCAGACGCCACGAGGCGTCGGAAGGACCGTAGTGACGCCGACCTGTCCGACGATGGGCTTGTTGCAGGCCGAGCAGTGGCCCTTGGCGGTGGTGTTCACCCCCTGCTTGGTGAGGTCGGACTGCAGGGTGCCCAACATGGAATCCAGCTGGTTGGCTCGGTTGCCCTTGGGCACCACCCTGTGCGGCTTGGCGTATGCCGGATCGCTAACGGGCGTGGGCGAGCCCTGGAGCTGCTGCAGCTGCTGAGGCTGGATCGGCGACTGGGGCCCCTGGCCGTTCAGCTGGGAGTTCGGCACATCCGGGGAACGGCGTTAGTCGACCGGCCCTTAACACGCAGCACGAATTTCGAACGTACTTGCACCTCTCCCCGGAGCGGATTTTAAGGGCGAGTCTAGGGTAAAATGTTTATGCTTCCAAAATGTGAAATTCCCTGCGAAAATAAATTCGTGAAAGTGTGTGCAAACTTTTATGCTAGGAGTGAAAAGAATAGGCTAGAAAAAAAACCTTCTCGAAAGTGGCTAAGCCGGCTGTTTCTTACGACTATTTTCATGCCTTATTTTCATAATTTAGAAGCAGAATTTCATAAAAATGGTTTGGGTATAAAATTTAACATTTTTGAAGCCTAAGGTACTTAGGTCAGGCACACACCCATTAAAGATTATAGGTACTACTAGGTGCAAATAATTATTTTTGTCTCTATCAATTCACTCTACGGGTTCTCAACCTGAACAAACCAACAAAATGGGAGACGGCGGCAAATGGGAAATGCAGAGTGAAACCCACGTCACGGGGTCCCAAAACAAAACCTTGAGGCCTCACAGATGCTCTTGCAATAAGTGTCTAATCCTCTCCTATCATTTAGCCTTCATTGTGAGTTAATTTCTGCAACCTCCATGAAACTGTTGCTCCCATTAAATTTCTGTCATAGTTCTTACCAGTGGAACAGCCAGCAAATGCAAATAGCTTGCACCATTGCATGATACTTTGAAGTGACAAACATGTGACTGACAAACACAGATCTAATGCAATGCCTTTAGAATGATCTTAAAAGCAATGATGAGGTACATGAAGTCTCAAGGTTTGTCATTCATGATAAACACTGGGCATGCCACCTAATCTGAAGTAACTCATCAATGACTCAATGAATCATGACTGAAACTATATCCTGTTCAACTTCTTTGGATGCTTTCTGATCCTGCACATTGGTCAATCCAATTCAAACACCTCTAGGAAAGACTGCACATCGTGAGTACAGCAAAAGGTAGACAGAAATACGACCAGATTCACTAATGGCATGAATGGTCAATACGTTCAAGACATGGCAAATACAAGTTGCCAGACGAGGTGCCTCCAATCACACACACTGCTGCAACCTGCCCAACTAGAGTGCCACGGAAGACATTGTGTGGGACACAGACGAGCCACCCACACCCTCCAAGAAAGCGACATCCACAAAACTTCCGTCGAGGCCATTTTCAAGCCAGATGAAGCTTCAAAAACTTCCACAACAGAAGTGATCCACACCGGAAACAGCAGACGCACACTCCCGTACCAGGCTTCAAGTGCTGTCGGATAATCCCAGGACGTTGCTGTCGTCGCCGCGGTGCCGCACCACGGAGATTCGTCAGTCAGAGTCGAATCGTAGCGTTCCTTCAGGGGTCGAAGGCCGTAAAGAAACCAAAACAGACGCAGGTGCAGACAGGGGCAAGAGAAGAGGGAGGGGATGACAGCTGACCAGGGTCCAGAGAGTCGTCTGGCCTCCACACCTCGCGGCTCCGAGTTGACACTGGCTCCCCATCCCACAATTCACAGCGTCCCTTTCTCCCTTTCCCTTAGATTCCGGATCTTGCGGCCAAAACAAAAGCAACCTCCTCCCTCTTTCGAGTCCCAATGCAAGGTGGGTAGAGTGAGAGAGGGTGAAAAAGAGAGAGAGAGAGAGCTAGGGCGCCGCAAAACAGGCAGCAGCCTCGACGGTTCGGAAATGGGGGCTCTGACGTTGCACCCGTGACATCAGCCCTAATAAACTGGCTCACTTTTTTCTTCTTTTTTTTTTCTTTTCTTTTCATGGTTTTCTTTCAGCCCTGTCAAGATCCTAGGATACCCCCTTGCAGTCGCCGCCCACCGCAAGAGTAAACGAAACAACAAACAGGGCAAGGCAACCTGCCAACGAGAATTGCCGCCCACACGGCGATGGAGCAGCCGCAGTTTTCGGCAGGAGTTCCCTTGATCTTTCGAAAGAAGTAACGGTACGTACAGAGTCTGAGGACGACACAACGGCATGCGGAGTTGTGCCGTGAAAACAAACAAAGCCTTTCCTAGCTTGCCTCTTCTTTTGCATTTTTCGTATGATGAGTCATCCAGTGTGCATCTCTTTTTAGGTTAGGTATGGTCTGTTTATGTGCATGCATCATGCTCAAGACTCAAGGGGAAAGACCAAAACAAGTCGAGCAGCAAACAGTCTCTCCACATTTTTTTCCCCTTTTTACCATGTTCACCACTTACTACTGCTTCTTGTAGTTGCCATGTTTGGTTGCCTGAGCTAACCGACTTCATCACTGAAGAAGTTTTCAACCAGCAAGGAAACTGGTTGTTGAAATGTATTGACTGGCCATACTGGGACTGCTGAACGCCTTTGAGCAACCAAAACTTGCAACCTTCCACTAACCGGTAGAGTCAGTACTCAGCTAACATCATAATGAAGCTGGTATATGTAGTTTCTTAGCAGAAACAAATCCCTGTACATAGACTGCAGTTTTGAAGTTCCTTTTTTCTAAGAAGTTATGACAATAAAATCAGCAAAGCTGTAGTCTATATGTTGCAACTCAAAAAAGAAATTCCATCAGGAGAGGTGGTAAGGTGAATTAGCATACAGCTCTACCCTTGACTACACCAGTTGCTATACACTGTGGAACTGTGATTATTCAGTGGTTCTAAATCGCAGAAAATGAACCAACTCTATAAAGTGCCACTGACATGCCAGAACTATGTACTCCTACACTCGAGCATCCGTTGCAAGATCAATTTTGGCTAAAAATCAGTTCTCAATCCTCATTGCAGCTTCTGCTTTCAGAGAAGACTAGTATTTCAAGGTTCCATCACCCATGCAGTTTTGCATTCATGCTTTGTTTAAATAAGTGGTCTAGAGCAGCTGTTACCTCACTGACATGCTTGATGCTAAGTGATGTTTTAACCCCTTAGATTTCTAACTTTGTTTCCTGGGCAATTAGGTAATCAACTGAATCAAGGCAGAATGATAATTACGCTGGTGCAAAACCCATCCTGTGTCTGCATGCTTCAAAATTGTCTATATATGGAATGCACATAGATTTGATACAAACAAGAATCTACTGCCAAATTTTGTAACCATGATTCTGGGAGGATGCTTTTGTTGGTCTTTTGTGGTAGATATGATATGAAACATTACTGTTGTGACTACTATTACTATGACTAGATAAAAACACTCACATTGAAGTCGGAGAGTGATGCCATGAGGTCATCCAATTCCTTAGTGGCAGAGGATGCAGTCGGCGTCGGACTCGTGTATGTACGTGTTGCCTTTGCGGGACTGAAAGGAAAACAGATAGTAAAGCAGCTTTTTTATATGGCATGCAAAGACGTTCTCACCATCAGACCAAAAACAATGAGCATAACTGCCTGAACCACAGGGTAAATTATTCCCCTTAACTTTCCAAACGACCAAAAAGAAGCAAATTTCATGGCCCAGGCTAAAGCTGATTAACGGTCAATGATGAAGTAAGACAGTATTGTTTGAAATACTGGAACAAGTAAGGTTTATACAATTGATGCCATTGTTTTGCTTGCATTCAAACTAAAGAGCAATACATCGCCCCCTTTTAGCTTCAACATGGCAAATGTACAATGTAAGTCCGGTGACCTTAATCACCTGTCAAAAGTGACAGCTTCTAGCTTTATTAGAGTCAAATGAAACCATTTATGAAATAATACCAAAACTCACAAAATGGAAACAAGATTGGAGTTTTGATAGACAATATTCAAAGGGTGATGCTTTTTTCGTGTCAGATGGATAATATATGCCGAAAAGAACCTGATATCGAAAGGCCCAATACAATACACTTGAGTCAAGCACCAAAACTTCAGTTTGACACGAAGTAGCAGTGCCTGCGTGTAACGCCTTGAAGTGAACACCAAAAGCATAAAGCAATTCATTACATGAAAAAAAAAAAAGCTTTCAATTACAGTATGAGGTATGCAATTCCTTAGTTGCATTTTGTCTGGATATCTTAGATAAAGGCAAAAGTCCCGCTGAGATAGGAAAAAATACAGATTGTGGAGAGATTGGCAGACTAAAAATGATGCCGGCTACAGCTCAGCCATGCTGACGTTTCCCAGCTCTTCAGGACAGTGCAGTGATGGAACTAGTGATAGAAAATTGTTTCACTATCCCAACAAATTCTACGTCTACTCAGGTTCGCCATTGCCTGAAGCTCAGCACACTTGAAAGGTGGAATAGAAGTAAAGGTCAAAACACACCCACCAGCAATAAAAAACTCACACAAAAACACTGCACAATGTTTGTAGACATAGAAAGGTATAGTTGGTGGAAATGCAAGTTGAGAGAGCCGAGTGCTAGCCAAAGGGGGTAAAATGCCGCATCCGATGCCTCCAGAATGCTAGGTAACAGAAACTACCATCACACTGTGATGATACGAAATATGGCAGATTATACCAACCTCCCTTTTAACAAGTTAATGCACGCAGAGCCCCTAACATAGCATTTTATCACATTGGCCTGACCGCCACCCTACCAGCACATTAAAACAAAATTCTGGAGGTTGTTTAATAGTTCAAGTGGCATTAAATTACATTTAGATTTTTACCGCATTGTCTCTTTCTTTTAGATTTTAGATTAAAAAAATAACTTTGTACTTGCAGGTGTACAGCTAAGCACTAAAAAAGGAGAGCGCTTTGCTGTCCAAGCACTTTTCGTAACAGTACTAACCCTCTCAATATGTGCTGTAATTCACCAAGGCTACAACAGCAACAACAACAACAACAACAACAACACGACACTAGAAAACACTAAATGTCACAAACACTAGCCACATTGTTGTTGGCGGCATACAGTCCCCACGGTCACGCAAGAGTGGAACAACCCGCTTCTCTGCCGAGCACTCTCGAAAACAGCCATGACGCGATCAAAATTGAGAAGTCAAGCCCTAAACAAACAAAGAAATTATGTCTTCCCTGGCAAGCCATGCCCGTGGGTAAACTTAAAAAAGAAACCCTGGCGGAGAAGGGCACAGCGGGAGGGATGAAAGGCCTAAAATTAACCCGCATCCCCCTCGGTCGGCATACGAGTGTTTTACGCCCACGTGTGAGGCAGTTATCAACCTTACACATCTTAATTTCCGCGCTTGGTACATGACACACATTTGTCAAGGACGGTGCCGCACATCATGAGGAGAAGGAGAGTGACGGCCAAGAAGATACGAAGAAGCAACGAGACACAGAATTGTGAGTGCCTGCTTCAAAGTAATGTTCCGGTCACCCTCAGGTATGCCTGCCATGAAGGTAGCGTGCCAAACTGTTTACAAAAAGATGGTGCAAATATAATCAATTATTAAAAAAACGGTGGTTCCCACTTCATTTTGTGGTATGTCTGAACCAAAGTGACAGTTCTATCTTCGCTCAGGATTAATTTTGGAATAAATGCCTACGAAGTCATCATTTGCAGCCGTCGGCGTGCGATAGGCAACCGCGACGGGACGCATAAACCACGTCCAGCGGGCGAAACATGCTCTGTGGTAGCTTGCAGAAACTGCAGTGGTGACATTAAGGTCAGGAACCACACCGTGTACACTAAACATGCCTCATTAGCGCACATGGACGGTAAATTTTTAGGAAGAGTTTCAATGCGCCGATTCCCCATTTAAAGAACGAAAAACGGCAGAGACAACGGTCATTTTGACACCTTGGTGGCTGTACCACCAAAGTACTGCTACTTTAAAGATGCAGCGGCATCAGTTGATCACAAACGGTATGTTTCATTTGCGCAGTTCACGCAGAATGTTGTTGGCTCGCATAATTTTCACAAGTGCAAAAAATAGTTTGCAAAGGAAGATGTCACGCAAATTCAGGAGGTACTATACGCGCTTATTTTAAAGCACTATAGTCACTGGCAGAATGAGAACGACAGGACGTTTTTTCGGATTTTCTGCGTCCAGCACATACTTGTTGCCTTCCAACATGCTCTGGCTGAGCGTGCGTGCTCAAAGCTCCCGAGGCACCGATGTGTTATGGAAGGTAGAACCAGAAGACTCACGCTGAAGCTGGGGCATCTCAAAGACCTCCCTGCCTTCTTATCCTGTCAATGTCAGCAAATGCAATCAATCCGGAGGCCGCAAATTTGTAGATTGTCGCAAAGCGTACATGCTGCATGTCTGTGCACAGACAGACACTTGATGGCTGTTTGTTCTCATACAGTGGAGGATTTAAAGGGGTAGAAAAACGAAATTTCAGCGCTCATTTTCTAACTTTAATCTGTTGCATGTCGCACCCTAACCTCAAAAACACCAGTCTTCCGTTGAAAAGCACAAGAAAACTAATTTTAAAGCTAAATAAACGACTTTCAATGTGCACCTGGAGGATGCATGCGGAGCCTATTTGGGAGGTAGTCTAGCAACGTTATGGAATCTGCTACGTAGTCGTGACGTAGCAGATTCCTTCGGAGCAGCACTGCTCTTTGGCATTTCAACGTTTTCCTTCTTAGCTTTCCTCCTGAACTCACAAATCGCGTATTGTACCAAACGGTCCAAGAAGACGGAAAGGGAGGACTCTCTTTCTCGGACCCTCGTTCGTGCAACCGGAAACAACCATTCTCCCCCTAGAAGATTAGCCCGTCCCTCAAAACTCGAACAAAAGTCGCTTTCCCTACCCCGTTCAGCCCTAAGCTGACAGTGTTGTGGAAGCTACGTGCTCCATGGACCAGCCACACGCTCGTCACCCCACGGGTACTTCGAACGGCTCGGTTGTAACGCGCTGACGCTATTAACACCACCACAACACTGACAACGCCACCAAGGGCAAAGCTCATAACCACGTCTGCTTTGCTACTCCACGAACGCGGGAAATCTTTTCTTTCTGTTTTTGTTTGCGCCGGATATCCCATGACGTATCGCGCTCTCCGTTCGCTTCTCTTCGAGCGCTTGCTCGGATGCACCGTTTGGAACGAAAAATATAGCCAATCATTCAAAATACAAACGTGCGATTATCATTTACGGTTATTATTCGTCATGCTTGACTCATTTCCGAACGAAATCTGAATATTTCAATTTATGTTCCCGTACCCCTTTAAGGGGAGAGGGGGTCACTGCCCCCCCCCCCCCTTTCCCCCCCTCTCAGACTCCAGAGTAAAATGTGTTTAATTAAAGAACAGGTATCTATTTATTTTTTCTTTCAGAAAAAATGCCTTTCTTGGTGAAATGACCATTACCTCTGTCTGTGACGTCACATCTGCCCATGACATTAAATTCTGTTCATAACATGACATCCCGTTGCAGAGCCAGAGCCAGAACCTGAGCCCCCCCAAGTGTTTGGTTCACTCTTAAACTAGTGGGTTCTGCAACAGAGTTGTGGCAGAGATAAAACAAAACTTCGGAAGCCTCACTCAACTGCTCAGTTGTTTCCAATGAGGTTGAAAATGCAGAATTCAGGCATGACCGTGATGTCAGATGGATCCCTTCATGACGTTGCCGTGACATATTTGGTGCGCTGTTAAGGCAAACTCTGACAGCTGCCCTTTTGTATTGGTACCCTTGCATTATCAACGGGGCAGGGAGAGTAAAACCCTATCCCAAAGATTTAATAAAGATCAAAAGAAAGAATGTGGCAAGAAATTTAGGCAGAAAATAAGTATATTAAAAAAGGCAATTCCTACAACAAAGCCACTATGCTTTTTTTCACAACATCCCTTGCACAATCAAAAAAAGGAGACCCTAAAGTTCCCTTAACAATAGAAAGAAAACATTAATGAACAGGGTTACATCTAGAGCACATCTTGCTAACTCTGCATGTGGGGGTTGCCATGCTCACACGTTTTTGCCCAAAGAAGCATTGGTTACCGATACTCCCAGTGATGAGGAACGTCATGTCACAGTCACGTGACTATCCAAAACTGCAGTTGCGCAAGAGGCACCCCTTCTGCCAAAAGGCAACAGCGGCGCTTAGACGACAGCCCAGAACACGAAAATAATCTCGTAAAGAAACAACCAGCCACAGAGAAACAACAACAAACCGGGGAGAGTAAACGTGCCGTGTGCAAAACGGGGAGAGAAAAAAAAATTAAGTAAAATTTTAAACCCCCCTTTCTCTCAATTGGCTCCCCCTCTGCACCCGACTGCCCCAAACCCAGTTCGAGACTTAGCCCGGGTGCCAGACAAACAGCGACGACTCAGCGTCTGCCAAGTGGCGGCCGACCTCCAGTTTAACTCGAGTGTCGTGTGCAGAGCGAGACCCACTTTTCTGACAGCGGTTCCACGTTCGTTCACAGCGGTAGGACTTGGGCACGAAGTTGGGAGGAGGGGA